GTTCATACCAGTTTCTTTCAGTTTTCTTCCCGTAGAAGTTGCAGATTTTCCAGTGCAGATATTGGCCCACTCTTATTATTATTATTATTATTATTATTATTATTATTATTATTATTCTAGTTCCTTAATCTTTGTGAGCAAATCTAGATTTATTGAGTGTGTTTCTGTAATTGTCCTTTTCTTTATTATTATTATTATTATTATTATTATTATTATTATATGCCGTCTTCGGTTTAATTAGTTTCATCTTATAATGTCTCTTTTTGTTCCTAAATATAAGAGCACAATGTTATTATTGTGAAAGACAGTGAGCAATATTTCAATTGGTATGGATTTTGAGGAATGGGCTGCTGGTTGATGAAATGTTTTGGTGTCATTTCCCCATTTGTAGAAGTCACTATTCCGATGCGAATGGCAAGGTTAAACAGTTTAATTGTTATTGGCTGAGGTGGGGAAAAGGAAAAAGAGGGGAAGAAGAAAAAGAGGACAGAAATAATAAATAAAATTCGTTGACAAAAACAGTAAAAAAGAGAAAAATGGAGGACTAAGCCGAGGCAAAAGGTGCAGGGAAGAGAAAGGCGAAGACGGGAGAAAAATAGAAGGGCTGAATACGAAGGCAGAAATATATATATATATATATATATATATATATATATATATATATATAAATTCGAGGAAAGAGAAAAAAGAAAGAAAAGAAATAAGAAGAGTGATAAAATGTTGAATGGAGAAAGACTATGAAGAAGAGAAGCGGTTGAAGAAGAAAAAGAAGTCTAATAAAAACGTATGAGACGAAAAAGAGGAAAAACAACAAAAAGAACGAGGAAATGTTCAAAGAGAAAGAAGAAGAAGAAGAAGAAGAAGAAAAGATGTCGAAGTAGAAAAAAAAGAACAGAAATAAAGAAGAAAAAGAAATATGTTTTGAGAATAACGTCGCTAATTGGCCTGGAAGGATCAAAGTTTGAAGAGCGCCACTCCCCACGACCATTCTCTCGATACGAAAAATATGAAAGGTTAACATTACAGAATTCTTGCAAAGTTCAGATTTTCTTTTAGAAAAAAAAAGGGTCTGTACATAATTTGCTTTTGTAAACAGATTTTGCTTTCTGCTAATCTCACGCCAGTCATTAATATCATTGTCATCAGCATCACCAACCCGATGACTTGAGAGTGGATGGTAGAGAAGACAAAGAGATTAAAATTTCTAATAAAATTATGAATTTTTCACAATGAGCGAAAGAAAAATACTTTTTAAAAAAGTTCAAAATTCAAAAAAAGAAAAAAAAAGGTCAACGATATTGCCATATGCAAAACATGTTTGCAGCCTTAATCCTTACTTAGTTTTCCTTTCTTTTCTTTTTTTAGTCTTTTCATTGGTATTATTGCAGCTTTTTCAGCTGAAATTAATACATTCATTTCTTGGTTAATAATTAATTTCATTAACGAAAATCAAGATGTGTGTGATGAAAAGAAGTCACTATTGTCCAGATCAGAGGGGGAAAAAAACACATACTCTCTTCATTTTTATCTTGACAAGAGCATTTGGGTGTAATCTCTGAATTGTTCCTTTTTTGTCGGCTTTTGACATCGATGTTAAGTTCCCTTTTAACGGAATTTGAAACCTCTTTTATCGTACGAGCGAAATTAAGGAACCTCAATGTGACCTACCCGCAACGAGTGAAACAGACAAAGGGAAATCAAATGTGACTTTAAGCCAAATTCGACAGATGTTGCTTGATAATTTGCAAAAGTTTCGAGCATGAATCTGAGCGTCGATTTCCCTTATAGGTTGAGTCGGTTTTCATAATCGATTTTAAGTATTGACATCGATGCAGTAATATTCGATCCAGAGATAATATTTTTTTCTGGTTAAGTATTTTTTCTGGTTAATTATGGTTTTGCAGGTTAATCATTGGTTAATTATGGTTAATTATTATGGTTAATAATTATTAGTTAATTATTAGCAATAATTTTTCTGGTTAATTATTAGGCGGCACGGTGGAGTAATGGATAGCGACTCGGATTGAGGAATCATAGAGCCGAGTTCGGATTCCAGTCGGATCCATTTACATTCACTTTTCGTGCTAATACCCTTGGGAAAGATATGAATCCTCTTCTTTCCCCCGCCCCTCTCCAGCATTGGATGGCAACTGGTCTATCGTAGAAAGAAACAGCAACCTACTGCGGGAAAAAATCTGCCTCATCAGTTATGCATCAAAAGATCCATGACCGCCTAAACGTGTATCACGCATGGCACATACCTGTTTAAATTATTGGTTTGTTTTCGCAATTTTTAAGAGAGAGTTAATATCGTTTATTATTTTTTGCACAATTGGCAATAATAACTTTTCTGTAAATTTGGTAGTATAATTTGTTTATAATAAATTGTAAATACAAAGCATCCTTATATCTTCTGCATATTTTAAAGCGTAACATCACTTTAGAAGGCTTCTATGAGTCTATTTTACAAATTAACTATTAATTCATGACGAAAGCAAAGAGCAATCCACGTAACGGAATAAAACATTAATTGATGCTTATATCAACACGGGGAAGACCATAAGAAGATTTCCAAAATGGTTTTATATATCCTGGTTTTCTGTTTCATCAATGGTTTTATAAATGAAATGAAATTCCTAGCATATCAATCCTTGCAATGTGGAGTCCTGCAAAAAAGATTTCAACACAGGAGATGGCTAAAATTATGAAGCCAACTCAAAAAATGAGTCTAAAAGATTTCTAAACAGATGTGAAGAAAGCTACAAAAGATAATTTACGTATAAACAATTTGTAGAGAATGGAAACCTGCAAAGATGGAACCCGCAAAATGAGTCGCTTGAAAAATGTCACTATTAAAAGGGATTTCGGGTCAATGATTGGGCGCCTGGCTAAGTTTTACGAACGTTAGTGTTTGGACCGTTTCGGATTTCCCAATGGTCGATTTGTCAAAGACTTCTTGATAATATCGACCTGGTCAGACAATGCAAGCGTACAGTGCCAAAGTTGCGAAGAGAATGAAAATCACAACAAAAGCCTTGTAACTGAAATTAAGTTGTGCCAGAACAAAATCTAAAAATGATGTCGAAAGTGGCTTCCAGTGTTCTGGCTTTGTTTAACAAGTGACTATGCTAAATTTTACACACACACACACACACACACACACACACACACACTCTCTCTCTCTCTCTCTCTCTCAGAAATTGTAACTAAGGTCTGCTCAGCATAGTTGCGGTATAAACAATAGATTGATGTTGGACAAGCAAAATGTGCCTGAGCAGGTGTCTGCAACAGGTACTATCTAGCCACCCTAGCAGTCAGTTATACATGGAAACGAGCAGGCATTTTATAATTATTTAGCTGAAATTTTAGGGCATAACTAGAAATATCATATTTGAAAAAAAAAAAACACAATAAAAAAATACATTCTAAACCGTGAAGTATAAGAGGTGACATTTGCCCAATGGTTGAGGGCAACTCAGCAGATCTAAAAGGGAATTGGATTCACAGATATATCCGTAGTCGTTTTTTTCACAGGAAAAAAATCGCATAAAAAAGCCACAGAAAACCTCACAGGATAAAAGTCACAATTAATTTATATTATTTACCCTATTTAATTTGTTTCAGCCGTTGTGCGCTCCGGCCTTCTTCTGGTGATTGGAAGTTCGGTCTGAACTCTTCATTTCGCCCACCAGTGTAGATTGTTCTAGTTCCACCTGCCATGCCTCTTCCGGGTGTCTCAGTTATCCCCCTTTAACTCAACTCTCGAAGTTTTTGTTCACAACTGCAGTAGCCAAGTATTGAACTCATAACACTTTGGGTCAAGTCACTAGACCAACGCTTTTATCCACTGGGCGATGTGCCCATGCCCCAGTAGATACGAAACGTCGTGAATATGGCAATAAAGATGAGGCCGACACTCCTAACAATGTAAGCAGTGTAAATAATTACAGTAACTCATGTCTCATGTGGCCGAGTGGTTAGAACGTTCTCATTCTAACCATGAGACCCGAGTTCTAATCTCACCATGGTCAATTTGTCAGGAAGGAGAATTCCTGATGTTATCGGACAGGAGGGGTCGATCTCAGCGTCCGGCACCTTTGAAAAATACTTGAAAACTATACCACGGATTGACCGAAGCGAAACCCTCGATAGCTGTGCTAGCAAGAAGTCATCGGGACTGAGGGCTTGAGCGTGCTGGCCTTACTCAAATTACTGATCACGTTAGATAATACGCCCTGCATAGTTGCAGTATAAATCACAGATAGGCTCTGTGGGTGTTGAATAAATACAAATGCGCCTGGGATTGGCTAGCCGCTCGAGAAGACGGGTATCCTCGAACAGGTGTGGCCAGCTATACATATAACTCATCTCATAAATATAGACAGATATTAATTCATAGGTTTATAATTTAATCATCAATATGTATATTAAAACTGATATTCCAGCCGACGTCACAAAGAAACTGCTATCAGTTCTGTAGATTCCTTTAAAGAGATTGATTGACATATTAAATTTAAAAAAAGTTAGAATTCGATAAATTTTATTAAAGAAAGATGCAGAAACAGCCTTTTTTTTTCTTTAATTTTTTTGCTAATTTTTTTTTCCCGGGATTTGAAATATCAGTGCCTTATTTCGAAAGAAAAGCTCTTTCATTGTCTGCTGTCCAGCATGGTAGTCGATTCACCAAGAAAACGAATCGAAACAAAGTTCGAATGACCATCTCAAAATAATCGAAGAAGAATCAAGTCAGAGTCATAGAATGATCTCCATTATTTGACTTTGAATTCCAATTGGACAATGATTTGGAATTATCACAGAATAAAGGTTCAAAAAATATCAGTTGAGAGACACGGAAGTGTTATCGAAGCCGACCGAAAAGAAATAAATAAAAGAAGTACGGGTAACTATAAAAATAAAATAATTATTCTAATACACTTACTAAACTATTTTACTAAAGGTGATTGAATCGATAAATGTCGTCAAGTCAAATTCGGCAGCATTCATTGGGAAAATAAGCAAAATAATTTCGCGGTTAGCTGTAGACATGAAGAGACTGGAATAGATAGATAGATAGATAGATAGATAGATAGATAGATAGATAGATAGATAGATAGATAGATAATCAACATTCGAAATCCGAAACGAATCCTAAATATAAATAGGTATAAGCAGAAATATATACGGTTTAGACTTACGCAATGCAGCGATAGATTTTACAAGTACATGACTGCTACTAGGCAAGGAAATTAATATTGTGCCAACCACCAAAACTTTCAGATGTCAGTTTTGATAATGTGAAGCCTGGATTTTGCTGTTGTTTGGAAATTTGAAACATACATAAAACCAGACAGAGATAGATAGATAGATAGATGATAGATAGATAGATAGATAGATAGATAGATAGATAGATAGATATGAACAGGTTGAATAGATCTGAACAGACAGATATAGATAAAGATAACAAATTCAGATAGATAGATAGATATAATATGAACAAACTGAGATAAACTAGATAGATAGATAGATAGATAGATAGATAGATAGATATTAATATGAACAAACTGAGATAGATAGATAGATATTAATATGAACAAACTGAGATAGATAGATAGATAGATATTAATATGAATAAACTGAGATAGATAGATAGATAGATAGATAGATAGATAGATAGATAGATAGATAGATAGATAGATAGATATTAATATGAATAAACTGAGATAGATAGATAGATAGATAGATAGATAGATAGATAGATATTAATATGAATAAACTGAGATAGATAGATAGATAGATAGATAGATAGATAGATAGATAGATAGATAGATAGATAGATAGATAGATATTAATATGAACAAACTGAGATAGATAGATAGATAGATATGAACAGACTGAAATAGATAGAGACAGAGAGTGTGAGAGAGAGAGAGATCGCTAGAGAGATAGATAAATGTATGTATGTTATCTTTTTCATTAGAGAAAGGAAGAGCTCAAATTTAACTCTCTAAATTCTAACCTCCTTTCACTCTCATTCACTTTGACGCCTGCACGAAAAATGGAGCGTTTTTTTGCTTTTTGTCGAAATGGAAACACATTAACATAAGCTTCTTTCGCAAAATACCTTTTTCTATTTAAATGAAAAAAAAAAAAAAAAGAGAAAAAAAAAAACTTTAAAAAGCCTAACCATAAAAAGTTCCATAAACAAAACAAAAAAACCTAATTTGAAAGCCAGAAATCGGCAAAAAGACGACAAAAGTTGAATGAAGTTTATTAAAGAAAATGAGAACTGAAATGGATTTGAAGAAAAATTGAACGAAGGAAATAAAAAAAGGAAATCTTCGAGTAGCGTTCTTTGGCGGGTAGAAAGAAAATCAGTTTTCAATTCCATAATTAGTGCTTATTTCATGAAACCTGCGGGTTATTCACGAAGAAAATGAACAGAATCAGGCAATAGGGATAATAAAATTATGCGAAAACAGATTGATATAATATATATATATATATATATATATATATATATATATATATATATAAATATATATATACACTTTAATATGAAATTGTATTTTTATATTTAGATGATTATACTATATCACAATGTGTGTGTGTGTGTGTGCGTGCGTAAGTGGATACATATAAAGTAAAATGAAATAAACTGTTTCGTATCAGGTTTTAATATTTATAAGTACAGATATATAAATATATATATAGGTAGTATATATTTATGTATACAGTTGAATATATATATATATATATATATATATATATATATATATAATTCATACAAATACATATATATATTTCACTCCTTTCTCCTCTCTCCCTCTGTATACGTATGTAAATATGGACATTATATTTACATAAACGTATATATATCTAAATAGGCATAAATATATATATATATATATATATATATATATATATATATAATTTTTTTGTGTGTGTGTATATATCGTCTAAGGTAATAAGGAACACACTCACACGCGCACACACACACACACACACACACACACACATATATATATATATATATATATATATTTATATATATATATATACATATGTAAAATTTCAGACAGTCTATTTTTATGAGATCGTAGCGCACAATATCGGGGATAGACCGTTTGTAAATATAAAAAAAACATATATATAAAAATCAGAACTGCGTCGTGATTGTCAGCACTGACTGTGTCTCCCCCCACACACACACAATATCTATATATATGTGTGTGTGTGTAAATGTTTAGGATAAAAATATGAGAAAGTGGAAAAAACTTTTCCCTAAAATCGTTCCTGATATATAAAAAATATATATTTCGTTTTTCCATATATATACGAGGGTGGGTCACAAAAGCTCATAAACTGTCTATGAATAAGTCATGCTAGAGCCGTGCGCACTGATGTAGCGATGGCAGCTTTACGGCAAAGTGTCCTTGAGGATCAACTTCTATCCGTCATCGCCCGACTTAACTAGGCATCACCAGAAGCCTTCAGAAGATTCTGAAATTGGATTAAAAAATTTTTCCATACAAAAAAAAATTAATAAAAAAAAAAAAAAAACATGTGTTTGTAAAAGTAATTTTTGTTTTATATCAATCTCTCTTTTAGTGGTCACCCTGTACAAGCAGTTAGAATAAGACAATCACAATAGATTTTTATTATCAAGAATAAGTGACGAATTAAATTTATCCAGCTTTCCAATCCGATTTAATGTGGGGCAATGATTTTTTTAAAATGTCGGACAGAAGGGGAAGTCGTTTGGATGGGATAAAGTATCCTCAGAGCTCGCTACTTTAAGCTTTTTATTCAATTCCGAACATTTTCTTTGTTGCAAAACCATTCAATGTAGGGAAGATCTCAATGACTTGCCCAACGCCGTAAAGTTACTTCCCTGTGTCTTTTCTATAAATAATTTCATGGTGATTGTTTGGATGACCTCTCCGCTATAGTAGCTAAACTTTATGAATTTAAACGCAGTACTAAACTGGAAACAAGGTTTCATCAATTTACATTTGAATTAGCCAGATGTTATGGGTAGTGGCTCGGATTGAGAAATCGGAGAGCCGAGTTCGATTTCCAGTCGAATCCGTTACATTCCATTACGTGCTAATACCCTCTTCTTCCCTCCATCTATGGGTAAATAGTAGGACAGACCGGGTTCTGTATCCTTGGATGACAACTGAACTACCGCAGAAAGAAATGGCAACCTACTGCGGGAAAAACTTCCTCGTCGGTCAGGTATCGAAAGATACATGATCGCCTAAGCGTGTCTCACGCATGGCGCATTACTGTCTGAGATGCAACCGTAAGTTTTATGCTAACAGTTTCTTTTCTCACGCTTCTTGCTTATGAAACTCTATTCTGGCTCCATACTTTCACACCCAGTGACCCCTCGTGTTTTAGTGGCTTTACTGACTTGCTTGGAGTAAATTATGCTTTTAAAAAATTCAATAATATAAAATCTCTTTCGACAAGGAATAAATGGATTAGTTTAATCCTTGAAACTAATGATTTGGTGTACAATGATGGCATACAAAAATACTGCATATCCACAAGAAAACGCTATTTGGCAAATGTCAGTTAACCAGGTACCCTTGTCTACCAGTCAGTCAGTCAAGTACCATACGCTTGGGTGATTATGTCTCTTTTGATTCATGATTGACTAGGTAGAAGAGGTTTTCCTGTAGTCGGTTGTCTTTTCTTTTTGTCCTGTTATTAAATCCATAGCTTGGTAGGGGGGATGGATTCATACCTTTCCCAAGGGTGTTTGCGCGCAAGAGAATGTAACCATCCGAACTAGAATTGGAACTAGGCTCCCCGATTTCCTATTTTGAGCCGATACCCATCACAACACACATGCTGCTAATTTTGTAATACTGTAATCTTACTTATTATAAAACGCAGATTGTGTGTGTCTGTACGTTTATATATTGGATCGGATTTCCTACATTTTTCAACCGATTTCAACAAAACTTCACAGGACTACGTAAAATTACCTTACGGTGGTTCTAACAGCACCAAACATTGGAAAAACACAATTGTTTTTGCACGAAATCAATTTGAAAACACGATTAAGAGGCATTAATGAAAGGGGGACAACTCATATCGAGTTATACTTATTAATATCGAGTTATACTTATTATAAAACCCAGGTTGGTTATTTTTTATTTGTGTGTGTGTGTGTGTTCGTTTATATATGGGATCGGATTTCATACATTTTTCAACCGATTTCAACAAAACTTCACTTTTTGGGGGCAGGTAGTGTTTCTTATTGTTTTGCACACTTTTTTCTTTATTTTTACATTCAGAATGTTTTAAAAATTCAATTTACAAGACAATTGTTTATAATAAAATTCTATTCAATCGATAGACTCATAACGATTGTAAACAATGTTTTTGTTTGAATTTGGGTTTGACCAATTCGTAAAAAAAAAAAAAAGAAAAAAAAGTAATTAAGACATGCGTGTCCGTCAACCTTAAAGAATAATCTTTGACAATTTTATTTTTCAGTCTTTATGATGGTCGATACTTGATCTATCTCTTACTGTTACATCCCCGGGCAACGCCGGGCTCTACTGCTAGTAATAAATAGAAAGATATTATACCCGATCAGATGCAGTATTTTGTTTTGATAAATCCAAATTTAGTTAAGTTTCTCTAATAATGCTATATTTCTATGTTTTATAGGCAAGGTGCACCAGGTATCTGAGAAGAAATTTCAATATAAAAATGATATAAAATATAAATTATGTTTTTCCTTTTTATTATATTTCTATATAATTAAAAGAAAAACAGATATTCAAAAGAAAAATCAGCAGCATTATAAGAAAAAAGAAAATAAGAAAAAATCTACCCATGTTTGAGAGTAGGAGACGAAAAAAGTTCTTTCAATAAAACTGGATTTAGCCTCAAGCACAAAGCGATCTTGGAAGTGACTATCCATCCGAATCAGGTGATACACGGTTTACAGTGCCGTAAAGTTTTATTGGTTAATCTTCATCTTACCTAAGATCTGGGTATGACGATAAACTACATCCGGCCACAAGATCGGGAGGTTTTGAGGAGCGTGGTACCATCTCAAAATTGCTGTTATTCCCAAGTCTACCCTGACCCGGGGTAGTAGCACCTGTTAGGGTCCCTGCTATGGGCAAATAGTTAACTCCCAAACTGGGATGAAAAAATACATTAGGAAAAATTACCAGCAATACATTTTTGGGAAAAAGTATACCAAAGCTGCCAAGAAAATACAATTTCGGCATTAAATGACCCATACGGAGTTGATATGCCAATGAACAAACCAAACCAAACCAAACCTAAGATCTATTCGTCCTCTTACTCTCTTTACTCTCTGAGCCATTTTAACAAATTGGTGTGCCTGTATGTTGCACACGATAATTTTTTTTTTGGGGGGGGGTTACCCATTGTTAGGCGAAAGAAGAGAATCTACCCATTTTTTTTTTTTAATTCAAAGTTATCTTTTTATCTTTCGCTACTAGTTGCTGCTCACAGCTAAAGAGCCCAGTCTTCTCTGTTATTTTATTGGAATAGGGGGAGGATGAGATGGATTTATTCGTTTCCTAAGAAAATGAGGGCAAACCGAATCAAGCTGGGTTCGAACTCGACTCGATTCCATTTGGAGTCTGTTAAACGTGAGGCCACCCTGAAGGACAAATTTAGGAAATACACGATCCTTTAAACTTACAAATGGAATTTCTTTTTCATCATCTCCTCTAATTCTTCCATTTTCTTTCTCCTTATTTGTTTTACTCCTTTCTCATCTGATTCTATCCATTTCCTCCTCCTTTCTACTCCTCATTCTTCTGTTTCTTCTTTTCTCACTCGTTAATTCTTCTTCTTCTTCTTCTTCTTCTTCTTCTTTATCATCATCCTCCTTTTTCTTTTTACTTGTACTACCTCTAATACTGTTGCTTCTTTTTTCCTCCTCCCCCTCCTCCTCCTCCTTCTAGTTCTGATTCATCTTTCCCTCCTTCCCCTCTTCCTTCTCCTCCTTCTTCTGAACTCTTAATCGTATAATATATCTATAAATATAGAAAATATTATATATATACCAATCTTTCAATAAACTCGTCTTTCCTATCATCCATCAAAAAATAAAGTAACCTCCTGTGACGAACGCAGATAGCCCAAACACGCATACACGCATATATTAAGGTTAATCTCCTCCTGACAACAGAAGAGGTCACGTGGAAGTCTTGAGATATTTTGGGAAAGCAAGTCAAGAGGTTGACTGACCCAATTACCCGTAGCAACAGATGTCTAGACAGAAGCTAGACAGGGGACTGATACACGCTGGAATTTGCGCCAAAACGCAGGACACGTGAGAGTTAGAAAATTACTTGGGAGTCAGTTGCTGTCTTGTCTGTGAAGAATCAAGACTCGAAATCGAAGCGCTGATAACTTATGAACGGAAAGATGAAACTCATTTGATAATGATGGAACTTGTCCGATTCATCCCAGGCAACTCCGGACAAGAAATATAAGAACATGTATTTCTGTTCGATAACCCCAAATTGAAGACGATAACTGGCATTATTTATCACAGAAGACGCAAAGGAATTTGTACGCTGAGAATACAGCCTGCGTTTGAAGAAAAGAGAAAACCAGAGAGGAAGAAAGCATATATCTCTGTTACAGGCTGAATTGTGTAAAGAAGAAAGAAGGAAAGAAAAAAAAAGAAAACCAGAGAGAGGAAGAAAGTGTATATCTCTGTTACAGCCGGACCGGGTGTGAAATTGGATTTGTGTCAAGAAAAAAAAAGGGAAAGAAAAGAGGAAACGTGAGAGAGAAAAGAAAGGACAATGAGAAAAAGAGAGAACTGAATATAAAAATAAGTAACTATATGTTTTGGACCCGTGTTAGAAAGATACACATGCATCCATAAATATTATGTTCTTACATACACCTTTCCACATGTCAAAATAGAAATATGTAAATCCTATCCCATGTCTTTTGGTTATGCGTTGATTTCTGCATTCGTAGTTATTCATCCTTTTTTTTTTATCCGTTCGGGTTCAGTCGAATCCACTTGAATTTGGACATATTTTGGTATCCCAACATAAGTCTTGAGATTCTGGTCGTCGGATGTTTTACTCATGCATATATTTTATTTTATTTTAATATTTTGTATATATGTACATATTAAAATTCTTATATCAAAATTCACTACGCCTTATCGTTCATCCTTGAATTGTGGATCAGTATTCGTGTTGAAACCGAAGCGAACCTGGGAAAAGATTACTGTTCGATTATCCTAACTGAACAGTGTTCTTTAAAATATTTTTTGTTTACTAATTGTCCATTGTCATGATCTGAGAGAGATAGCCTGTATCTCTCCACAGGTGTGATAATGTATATATCTTCTGATCGGCGTATGATCGCCTTATAAACCCATTCGTCGACTAGGGCATATGGCACTCCCCTTAAATCAAAGTTACAAAGGATTTCATTGATAAAACCTAAATACTCACCCCGGCTCCTGGAAACATCGGCGAGAGTCTCGATGTCAAGTAGATTATATATAATAGCTGGCCACTCGTATTCGAGGACACCCGTCTAATATTTTCGCTCAGGTACATTTGTGTTTGCTCAACACCCACAGAGCCCACCTGTGGTATATACTGCAACTATCCTAAACAGACCTTACTTACAGTTTCTGGGAAATAAAATAGCGTGTTATCTATCTTGATCAACAATTTCAACAAGGCCAGCACGCTCAAGCACTCGGCCACGATGACTTGTGCTAGCACAGCCTTCGACAGCCTAAAGTTCTGTCTACTCAATTTCGCTCACATGACTTCGTGCTACACGCTGGGATCGACCTCGATCCAGTCCAATAACATCAGGAAGTCTAATTCCTGAGAAATCAACCGTGGTGAGATTCGAACCCGGTTCTCATGATCTCACCCCGGCCCCCTGAAACTCCGATGAGAGTCACGATGTCACACGCTGAAAGCTAAAAAAGAAAATATAAAATATATATATATATATATATATATATATATATATATATATATATATATATATATATATATATATATATATATATATATATATATATATATATTTCAATCTTACACCGTTATCAATACACACGTACAAAAATGGATGATCATATTGCAGAAGCTTCTTCTTTCTTTTCATAAAAGGAGATGCACACCATTTTGCTCATTAATAGAAATGATGTGCAAAATGTGTTTATTTTCATTATTAAACATTGTTCGAACGTTGCATTAAAGATACGAAATGATATGTGCAGAGTTTCACTGTGAAACCAAGAAGATTGACGCATTTGCAATCATTGCAAAAGCGTAAACAGAACGAAAAAAGGCGGTCGAGAAAGGTGGGCGGATAGAAGATTTTACAAAATTCCGATATTAACATGCGTAAACATTAAGAGAATGTTTTTAACGAAATATTGACTGACACTTTTTAGCGGGACAAATAGACACGTGCTTCTTTTATTTCAACTGAAAGGAATGTTTTAATACATCTTACTCTGCCGAAGGAGAAATAAAAATAAATCAAGACGAAGAAGAAAAGTGGAAGCAGCAAAGAATACGACGAAGAATGACAACAACAACAACAACAATAATAATAATAATTAGAAGAAGAAGAAGAAGAAGAAGATGAAGAAGAAGAAAGAGAAGAGGGGCAATAATAATAATGTTAACAATAATAATAATAATAATAAAAAGTGCCTCCTTATTGATATGGCAGTCCCTGATGACTGCAATGTATCTTTGAAGATATTCAAAAAGCTGTCAAAACACAAGGACCTTGAAATAGAAATCTCGAAAATGTGACATATGGGAACATCAACAATCCCTGTTGTAGTTGGAGCTCTAGGACTGGTTGGAAAAGATTGCAGTAGACTAATTGAGGGGATTCCTGGAAGTCCATGCCTCAAAGAGATACAAAAAATTGTTCTGACAAGTACAGCCCACACTTTACGAAGGGCTTTGAGTATGTAATTTTTTTTTTTTTTGTCAGTGGAAAGTGTCATGATGCCATTTCTAACCTTAGGTCCCTGGGCGGGACCCGGAAAGAAATGTGTAAACGCCAGAAATCAAAGAAAATAAAAACAACAATAATAATAATAATAATATCTTGGGTTAGGTCTTGAACATCCAATCTGACTTTGTAAAATGTCAAAGTAAGCATATGGTTCTCAAGTCAGTTTTATATTTTTCCTGTGTTTTTTTTTTTTTTTGAGGTTGAAAAATTCCAAACCATGTTGTCCATTTTTTAAAACTTTGTCCCCCATGCTTAGATAAATGTTGACCCCACATCAGCAAGACACTTTAAGTAAGTGTAAATCTCGTGTTTGTCCGTGTTTTCTCATTATACATTGGAATTTAACAGTTACTCAGTGACAATAGACCTTTGATCTCTGTCAGGAAGGAAATAGATTTTTATCAAATTGGTTGCTGTTTTGCTGACAGATATTCCGTTGATGGTCTACCCAACGATATCTGTCAAAATTTGTTGGCAAAGAAAAAAAAAAGAAATAGAGTATTATGAGCAACAAGTCTCGTTTTCTCTCGTTAACCATTTCAAAGACGATATAGGAAATGGATGCCTGGTAGAGGGAAGAAAAAGAGCAGCATTTCCCAGAAACAATCCAGAGACAGGTTGGGACGTATTTTACTTTATCCACCGCGTACTCTTGACTTATTTCCTTCAGATTATCACTCGTATTTTCTTACCTTCAGTGCACAGGCGATCATTGCCCTCCACAACTTCTTGTGTCTCTTAGCAGTTTCCTCCTTTGTAAAGGCTCTTGCCTCCTGTTCCTTTAAATAAACTCGTTACTAGCTCTGTTTTCCTCTATATCCCTTGCTCCCAATATACCTTGTGGGGATTAGGCTTTCCATGCCCTCCTTTATCATATGTCCAATTTATTTAAGCTGACTTTTCCTGATTCTGAATAGAAGTGTTCTTTCTGTTGCTATTTTCTTTAAGACTTCCTTGCTGCTTACTCGCTCCGTCCATGGAATTTTCAGTATCTTTTGTAGAAACATATTTCTGCTGCTTCTAATTTTCTCTTCATCCGTTGTGAAATTATCTAGCATTCACTGTTATATAAGAGGATTGACAATACATCCAGCACTCTTTTCTTTGTTTCTTATGAAATTCTTCTCTTTCTCAGCACCTTGCTTAGACTTTGAAATGCTTTTTTTTTCGCTAGTCCAATGCGCGTTCGTCTCTCGGTGTCGCATTTTTCCTTCTTTTGATATTTTCAACTCGCATTTTGTTTTTGTTTTTCTTGTTTTTGTTTTTTTTTCTATTTCTCTAGCTGATGAGAAATTGTTTCTGTCTTCTTGCAGTTGATGCTTAGTCCTTTATTCTCGATTTCTTCGACCACCCAGTCTAGGACGTCCTTAAGTTCATTTTTTCTGAGTCGGCCATCAATCAGCGTATCGTTGAGATTACGTCCACCGATAAGTTCTCGCAGGGTCTCGAGTTCCTTTAGGATAGCGTCACTGTCTACAAGTTGAATAAATCTGGGGAGAAGACGCCTCTTTTATTTTTGTATCTCTACCCAATTCATTTTCTATCCGCATGCAGGCTGCTTGGTCCAAGTATATCTTCTGGATTATTGTTGCATCTTTTCCAAATCGATCTAGCATTTCTAGCAGTTCAAATAGAGCCTTGACTCCAAAAATGACATTTATCCAGGAAGTAATTTCACACGGGCACACATTTGTTGATGAGATGCAAATCAAAGAGTGTATTTAAGCCTCCAGGTACCGAGGGGGAAAGTGACTGAAACACTATGGTGACGATATGGAATAATAACATAGACGTCACCATTTATCGACTGTAGACGGGATCATCGAGCCAATGCGAACGATCCTTTCTTTAGCTGTATATTATGTGCTACGCCAGGGTTACGTACATGAATTCAGGGTTACTTTCTCCTAGACCGGTTGCCACCTAAGGCAATAGTACCCAGTTCGTCCTGGGGTGGGCGGAGAAGAAGAGTATACATACCTTTCCCAAGGGTATTAGCACGTATGTGAATGTAATGAATCCGAGCCGCTATCCATTACTCCACCATGCCTCCAATAATAGTAATGCTAGTAATACTATGCTTATTATTTTATTTAGGATAATAATAAATATGTGATATAAGTAAATATACCTACCTTTTGGACATCCTTTGTGGTTAGTGACAAGTCTGACGTTCGGTTAAAAGACACAAAAAACAAGAGAAATTGGGAGCTGAGACTTTTAGTGGTTATCCGGGTTTGTGACGGAACGAGTTTGAGATTGAGAACCAGCGGAGAAATTGAATGTCAATACCCTTATGCTTTCTGCTTAATATAATCCCTGACTAAGTCATTACCAGAGAACTAGTGTGTCATTGTCACTAACTGCTTTGTGTTTGGGTGGGCTATGATCATCGATTTGCAGTGGGGCACATCAGTTGTCGTCAGGTCAATACCCAAAAGTCGCACCATCTTGATTTCTCACTGAAAATTAAAAGTCATTTTTTCCTCATGCGAGTGGTTTGCTCGACATAATAAATAGCACAACGCGTGGGATTTGTATCAGTAATTTTTATTCTTTTCCGCAGGGAACTGTTGCCGACTATTCGTCAGCAAGATGAGTGCAAAGTGAGGGAGAGAACTTCAATAATACAGTCTACTTTTTATGACATCTACTAAGGCAGCAACGTCACTGAAGAAAAATGGAGGAAGGAAACTATTTTTTCACTCGGAAATCTCACTTTCTTACTCGTTTTTGATTAGGTAATTTAAAGAGCAATGAAAAGACGTCGCTACATACCGTGTTATTTTTATCGCTATTTCC